CTACTCTTATCCCCTAGGTTTATTTGCAAATTTAGGTTCCAAGTTACTTCTAAGAACCCCTTGCTCAAATCACAATGTTTTTGTGTGCAAGTGCTCGTCTGGTTTTTACCCCACTTTAGCTGAGTGACTGCAGAGGCCAGTGGGATGTAGAAGGGTCCCTATCAGAGCAAAGGTAACACCTTAACAAATAAATTGTGAATACAGAAATATTCCTAGTGCAGTCTCTGCTGTTCAGATTTAGACTCTCTGTGTTAGGGAGGAGGCTGTACCACAGACTGCGCCATGGGGCTCTGTGTCTGATTACAGAAGTAAATCCTTCTTTAAACAGGTTTTCCTGCTGATAACTTGCTGCCTCTCAGACACAGGCACACACCATCACCATCCCTTTATGCTCCTTGTCAGGGATTTATGAATGTGCTCCATGCCAGCATCTGTAAGTGGCTGCAGGGTGCATCTTCCTTAGCAAGGGGCAGGAGCTGGGCTGGACTCAGGGACCGTGCCTGCTTTTGTGGAATAGTGATACAGGAAAGTCATTTCTGAGGCAGAAGAATCATTCATGGATTGCAAAAGTCCAGCAAGTCTGAGTCAGGAATTCCAGTAAAAGTTGTCATCAGATTGCAAATATACATATTAATATACATATTAAACATGATCCTAGAGAAGCTGCTAATGCAATAATTTTTCCAAAATGCAATAGGATAAACACAGATGATGAGAAAAAGATTAGAATAATTACAAGACAGAGACTGAAACTTAAGTTCTGCTATATCATCTGTTTTTCCCTCATACCATCCTAGCACTCTTGCTAGACCTTTCTGAATCACACTTATGATATATTGTCAGTTCAGCAGCAGAGATGGGGATCAGGCACCATCTTTAAATCCTCACAGAGACTGTAACTGAATAAATCAAATTATGTAAGTAGTTAATTTTCATAATTTGAAATTACTTGTCTTTTATGCAGTCAGAATCAATCTAGGCTATTAGCAACTACTTTGGAGTATTTCTGGACATAGTTTATGAATGCTCTAAGGGAAGGCAGCAAGCCATTTTTGTAATATCAAGTTTGTAATATCAAGTCTTGCACTGGGTTATACTCAAAAGTCATTTCAAAAGTGCTGGCATAATGGTCAGTTCTAGGAAACCTGATAGGCCAAAGCACAATCAGAAAAGTGCAAGCAGGAATCAGAGGGCTGGTTTGAGAAGGAAGAAGGGCAGAAAGAACATGGAAGAGCTTTCCACCCTGTGGAGAGCCCGAGGCTGCCCCTTCACATGGCTCTCAGTCACTGCCAGCCCACAGCTGAGAGGATTTGGGTTTAACTTCATTCTCTGCCAAAATGTGTGACCTTGGTGTCACGATTTATTCTCCCTGCATCTCACTGTCCTGACTCATAAAGCAAGGTGAGGAGCATTCCTCTGATTAACAAAGAACTGGTAATAAAATCCACACTGAACAGTAAAAGGCATTTGAGCTCTGTGAGGATGTGCCATTGCTTACACTGACAGATCTTTCTGTGAGGAGCTTCCCTGCAGCTTCGAGTCAGGGTTACCCAGTCTTTCTCTTGGTATGAATACCTGCAAATAAGTTTTAAGCAGGACACACAGTTCTGGAGGCCTCCACATAAGAGACATGCCTCTGATTTTCTCTATAGCCAGCTCTAAGTTTAAAGGACAGGAATTTGCAAATGGTGGTTTGGTCTTACAGCTCTCCCCTCCCACCAAGCTGACAGAAGGCTTTCACAGCTGGTTCTGCAGAGCTTCACAAGACCTTTCTGTCTTTGCAAGCAGCAATGGCAACTGAACATTGATTTTCAATGGGGCTTTTCATCACTGAAATGCTGACACTTTAATTATCAAGAGGCCCTGCACAGGTTGGAATTAGAAAACAAGTACTTGTATCATGGAGCTTAGTACAGCAACTCCCAAAAAGTTATATGAGCAGTGACACTCAAAGCTTGCTTGCTGTAGTTTTTGTTCTTACAAAAGTTTTCAGTCCTTCTGTTCCCTCACACAGATTCTCTAATGTCTAATAATATGTTGAACACATGCTGTGGCCTTTCCATTAACAGGGGCTTGCCTTGTTTTCATCAAAGGCAAAGGGACTCTTGATCTCTCTGCAAGTTTAGTTGAAACTGGGCAACAAGTTCAAAAGGATCTCATGGGGACTGACAACAGCACAGCCTTGTAACTGTTATTTCCCAAGGAAACTGGATTAAAAGGAAGCATCTGATTATGTGGTAGGCTAAGTCAAACCTTCCTTTCTGTCAGTTAAAAAAAGTGAGGAAACATATTTTTACACAATGTTTACTAGCTGAGTTTCAGTCAGAGGGAAACTGACTCCTCATATTATTTTTTTCTCATTAGTGAGTCTAGAAGAAGGACAGGTTTATGTCCTTGGGCATAGCTAGAAGAAATTACTATTTTAAAGTTACCTCTTTCATTAATTACAGGCAATTTGCTTTGTCAGGGGTTTCCATGGCATGGTGTCTTCTTTGAAATAATTGCAAAATAATACTCTCTTTAGGGTTGTTTTGAGCAACATAATGGAAGTCTCCCATAGCCTGGTTTCCTACTGGAATTTTTTTCCCTTCTTGGTTATAGGCTGTGTTCCCATGACAATTCCTGTGCTCATGCATCCCAGAATTAGCTCCTAACACGTTCCAGCCTGATGGTACATTAAGCCCACTCAGTGCTCTGCAAACTACATGTACGCTCTAGGCTCTGAATATGTGGGGAGAGGAAGGTCTCTAATTTGGGTACTAAGGCGATGGGATTTAAAGATGGGAGAAGGGATGGACAGAAGGTAGTGGAGGAAGTAAAAGATGCCCAGGTTTATTCCTCTTCTATTTTTTTTTTTTTTTTTTTAACTAGAAATGCCTCATGTCTGCAGGCTAAGAAGGGTATGTAAGAGTAGTAAGTATAAACTTTTGGTAAAATGGAACACTTGCTTGAAAAAATGACATCACTTTAACTTCAGAGTCAACTGACACGGAAAGCAGTTCCATGTTTTGAGCTAACTTTCCTGCAGCTTTCCTTCACGGAGCCCTCAGTTTAGCTGAAAGCTCCCTGTTTCCATGGGGTCCCCATGTGACATTCCCACTTTAAACACAGCAGCGTTCCAGCTGCAGAACTACACACCTTCCTAGACATCTCCTCCAAGTCCAAACCTGAGGAATCCTAGTAAAGACTTTCTGAAAAGGACCAGCTCTGTGCTCAGTCCTAGCTGCCAGAGCAGTGCCAGAGCTGATGGTAACATCCAGCAGTGCCAGGAGCCAAGAAGGGAGCACTTGGATACTCCACCACCGCAAGAGAAGTCAGGGTCCATTGGCAAAAAAAGGCTCCCAGTAGGTGCTGGTTTGGCTCCAAATGGCACTGATGAATTATTAGGAAGATCACCACTGCACTCCCATGTTTAGTGGGCAGCATTAATGTTTCTCAGTCAAGGCACTAGGAATTCCAGCCAGGACTGCTGATGGATCTTCATGGACATCCAGCACTGCTACCAGAATATGGTCAACCACTACAGCTACTGAGAGAGCTGCTCACTGAATCTTTTCCACCAGCAGTTCAGTTCACACATTAAAGCTGTTCTGAGGCTTTCTGGGTGTTTTTGCCCCCAGCCTGTTCTCAAGAAGCTGTCCAGACTGGAGAAGCAAAACTCTTTAATATGTTTCCATCTGAGAACAGCCTACCATCTCACCATCTGTCACAACAGCACTTTCTAACATTTTCTTCTCCTTCGTGGTGCTTCTTATGTCTCTTCAAAGTTTGCCCTCTGGCATTTTCCAAATGGCACAGCAGTGTTCAGCAGTGTTGGAACAATTGCATTTGTGGAGTATCAAAATGTCTCCTCCCTCACAGATTTTTCTTGCTCAGTATGGTGGTACCATGAGGGTTAAAAAAAAAAAAACCTCAAAGCTTATTATAATGCAAGCATGGTAACCAAGATATCAGGTATAGGAGAAAATGCAGTTGAGATTGTAGTTTGCTTTACAGTTTGAATGATGCTCTGAGCCTTCAGCTACCTTTAACTTCTACAAGATACATTACCCAAACTAAGAAATGTAAAGATGCCTACAGATTTTTAAATGCTCAGTTTGCATTAATCACAGTCTCACACTATTAATGGTCTGAATTCAGAAAAAAAAATAGTCCAAAATGTCTATTTTTTTGCTACACAATTTGCTCAGACCTTCAGATTACCTAAACCCAAATTTAAAGGATATTACATTCAAAGGCAAGAGTGTCTCTCTGAGGAGTCACCTTTAACAGTGACATTGACCTGTCATCCCCACAGAACCTCTGTGAGAAGCTCCCCACAGAATAATTGCTGCCTACTGCACCAGCTGCCATCGCCATCTCAACAAGACCCTTTCTGTTCCTTGATGACAAACCTCCTGGTCTGATCTGTCCCACACCTCAGGGGCAGCCCATAGCGTTGCACCAGGAGGTTACTACTGATTTCTTCAAATCTCATCCATTTTCCAACAATTCAAAGCCATACAGGCACCTTCCCAGTCCCTGTGCCATTGCTGGTCTCCAGGCTGAGCCCAGCAGGAGACCATAGGAGGGGAATTCCAGGAGTGAGGGAAAAACATTGCATTAGTGTTGCTATGGAGATGAAAATTAGCACAATAACTATTGTGTTCTGTTTCAAAGCTTCCCAGACTTCAGTTTTAACTCCTTCCCCTACTCTACCACTGTTTCAGTTCTGTCCCAGCAACATTCCAGCACACCTGACCGATTTCTCAGCCAGGAGATGGAAAGGGAATGGCAGAACACACAAGAACCTGAAGTCTGGGCATACCAGAAAAGAAGGAGCAAAAAGTGAGGCCTTGTAGAAGGAGAGGATAAAATAAAATCAGGGAAAAGAGAAGATAAATTAGAAAGAAAAAAAAAAAAAAAAAACAAAACCAAACCAAACCAAACAAAAAAAACAAACAAAAAACCAAACCAACCAAAAAGAAAAAAAAAAAAAAAGAGAGAGAGAATTGTAAGAGGCAGGGATATGGAAAAATTGCTTTTGAAAATAGTGCAGAAACAGACTTGGAAAATACTTTGGTACCATATGGTCACCCTCTGCCATTCCATAATGAAGCCCTGCCCCTCACAGGGAGCAATGCACAGGCTGTGCACACTCAGCAGTGAATACTGAGATCTCTTCCTTCCAGGATGCAACAGCCTCTCACTTTTCTTCAGCACAGAGAGGAAAAGCAAAGCTTCTAGGAAGGAAATATAACATCATGCTTTCTTCTCAGAGGAAGAGCAAAAGCTAGAATTAATCTGATAATTTGGATGTTTTTCACATCCACATGGTTGCACTGAATTAGGTGGTTGTGTCATTTCTGATAGGGTTTATGTTTCAGTTCCCTAAAGCTTGCACTTCTTATGGATGAATTACTGTTGACCTGAGTTCAATCCTTTCCATAAAATCACTTGGGTTGTAAAAGTAATGCTCTGCCCTTCTTCAGAAACACTGGAAAAGCATTCAGGCAGGATAATAAAAGATTCAGCAGAGCTTGTAGATGAAAATTAGGAAGATGAGGCACTTATGATCAACTAGGCTTCACAACTACCCACAGGGGCACCAGAGGCAGCATCCCCAGATGTGTAAAGTGTCTCTGAGCACACCTTTCACCCATGGAAAATGTCTTCTTGCTGCCACAGCCCTTATACAAAACCCAGTGAACAACCATTGCTCTGTTACCTCTGGCTCTGCAGCAAGCCTTTATCCTTCCACTCTTCCAAAATCTCATTCCTTTGCAGTCACTGTGGGTACAGCTGAAATTTTATTTTGCCCAGCCAGCAAAAGACACCACGAAGCAGTCAATAAGAAGAGGACAGAATGTGTCTCCCAGGAGAACAGCAGGATGCCACGTCCTGCCCAGCCAGGGAGCAGGGCTCCAGTCACAGGGAAAGGGGGTTGCAAAAAGGGTCCAAAACATGGCTGGAGGGTATTCACACTCATACCATTGTTAAATACCCTCATCCCACATCACATCCATTCCCAAAAATGAATACTGATTTCCTAAGCCCAGAAACTGGGTGACTAGAAGTCCATTTGGTGCAGGCAGAGCTTACAAAAACTATTTCTTAGACTTTATCCTCCTTTGTCCAGACTGACAAAGCCACTTACTGTTGTGGCCACCCATCTGAGCCATGGCACACCCAGAGACAGCAGCACCCCTACAGGGATCTCACTGCACCCCCTTCCTTCCCTGCTGGCATACAACAACTGGAAAACAGCCATGGTTTGCAAAAGACATGTGAATGATACAGTAGATTTTTGAGTTTCTGTTGGTCTCCAGTCCCAGCATTCCCAGATCTTATATGGTTTCTCACCACCCTTTGAGGGGGAAAAAAATGCCCACAATAAATTTCCCCCAGCCCTTCAATATGAGACTTGTAACTTGCATTGTAGGCAAGCCTTAAAAAGCAGGGAGATGAATGTTTTCTCTCCCACAGTTTAAAGAGGAGAAAAAGCCTTGAGTAATTTATTGATTTGTAAGGTATATTTTGTGGAAGCTCAAGCAAGTCCAAAACTAGAATAGGGATCAGTGAGACTATCGGTCCAACTATAATTCTACTGTTACCATCTCATTTCTATCTCCTTTCCCTCTTCCAGCCTTGCAAAGGAAAATAGCTTCAAAGTCCTATACCTGTTACTTCTGAAGGCTCATTCCCTTGTTTTCTTGTGAAGAACTGTAGAAAAGCCTTTCTGAGAAAACTTCAAACCAGACACCAAACAGAGACAGAAAAACTGCTCTTTCAAGCTCAGAAAGTTAAGGAAAAGGCTGTTGCAAATCAAAATCCTCAACTAAAGTTTCTCCAGTCAACAAAACATCAGTCTATCTTCTTCTTGAAAGATTATCTTACTTAACAAATGATCAGTTTAAACTTGAAATTCACATGCAGTATAGAATGGCTGAAGTCTGAAAGTACTGAAGGAATCATGGAGTTGGGTGAGTATGCTACTAATTACCCCTTTCCCTGAAAGTAATTTCATTTTCTTTTTATGAAATATAATACATAAAACTGGGACAAATAACTAAGCTCTTTCTAATTGAGGAAGTATCAGGAAAGGGAGAAGCAGCAGGGTATGGATTTTGTTCACATGCCAAAAGCATGGTATATGAAATGTCATTGTGAAGTTCCAAAAACACTGAAGAGCCTTGCTTGGCAGCTGGTTAGTTGGGGAGATATTTATCTGCTTAACTCTCTAGCAGTGCTGAAAGTTTTAAGTGCATTTCAAAATCATCTTTCTGCCACATTTTCCTCTCACACTTTTGCAAGACAGGGTGATGAAATTCTTATTTTGTGAACTTTAAAGAAAGACAAGAGATTACCAAGATTTTTTTTTTTTTTTTTAACTTCTGTACCCTAATCTTTCTGGTTTTCTGAGAAGTTTTGCCTTTAGGATTATTTACTTTATCCCTGGAATTTTATCTACCACACAGAGAATGCGAATTTTTAATAACAGAGTACATGTTCATGTTTCTATTCAGGGGTCATTTCATAGATAAAACACTTGTATGGGTCCCTAAATTAATTATTAGTCACACTGAAATAACCCAAACACCCAAGCAACAAGCACAGTTTTGGAAAAAAGTTGTGTTAGGCTGGGACCATACTGTCTTAATCTAGATATTCCCATCCTGATGATGTCACTGAGACAGGATTAGTTTTGCACGGCTAATTAATGTCTTTTCCCTGTAACATCACAAATGCTACCAACCAGTCTAAGTTTGTGCAGTGTTGTTATAAGCATCATCTCACAAATAAAACTTAGCCTGGCTTGTCAGTAACTTGGGTAACATCCATTAACAAATCCTTCTTACACAAGATTTAGTCTACAATTTCTACTTTTTAAGCCTTAAAACAACAGAGTCAGTGTTCAGGTATGGGGAAATTTCCCACCTTTAGTGAAGGGTTGGACTGGATGAGTTGGAATGTTATGAAATAGCTCAGATGGGTCATAGTGATGGTCTGGTACATGCAAAGCCATGCCTGAATCTTTGAACAATGCCTGGGTGAAAAGCAGTAGAGTTTCTCAGAGTGCTCCATCCCACCTTGTAGCAATGCATCCCGCAGGAAACACGCTGCCCCCCTGGGCTCTGGTTTAATGCCACCTGATGGCGAGTGCAAATGTCTCGGGTGATGTGAACAGAACAGGAATCCGGGCTGAGCTCTATCCCTTTGACTCCTGAACGGGCAGAGCGGTGCCACACGGTCCAGCAGAGCGCTGCTGGATGCTGATGCTGCTTTCTCTCCTCCAAGGAGTGCTGTGCACTTGGGAAGCAGAGTTAAGCCTTTTGCACACAATGGCACATGTTGCTGGGGTCCTTCCACTGTCATGTAAAAATCATGGATGTTGCACCAGCTGTGCTTTGATTGCAGTGTTTTTCAAGCCCATTTTCACTTTCCCTTACGCTCAGCCTTTCCAGCTTTGATCACAGTGCAGCACAGCTAAAGGCACCTGAGAAACATTGCTAGGCAACAGATGCTGCAAAGGACAGCTTCCCCTCCCCTCACACCGAGGTGGCAAGAGACCTTACAGTGCTCCAAGTTGCCTACCACAAAATATTCAAGGCAAAAGCTGCTTAGTTTTATGAAGGCAGTCAGTTGAAGCAAGAAATTACTTTGAAAGTAGGAGCTGAAAACAACCTGCAGTAGGAAATTCAAGGAAATTCAAGAGAACCATGATGGGAGACAACAAAAGGCAACCTTAATAAGGAGTTATTAGATGTGTGGGAGCAGGTGGAGAATATGTGGAATACAAAACAGAGTTGAAAACTTCTGCGTTAGCATAAATATATCTATGCTTAATGTACTGTCCTTGTTATAAAACTTGATTTATTGCTGAAATTCTGGTTAGTGTTCAGTTTACACCACCGTATCAAAAATTATGTCTTCCTTGAGGAAACCAATACTACTGTTGTGTTTTTCTTCTGAATTATCAGAGTACTTCACATTCATTCTTGCTCAGTCCATAAATGTCATCCATAGAGTAAATAGAAAAGTTTCATTTCATCATCACTTAGGAGTGAATATAGAAGCTACATAAAGCCACATAAATCTTTATAGAACACAAATGGGTATTTCACCCAGAATAAAGCTTGAAAGCAGCCTATAAACAGAAAATGGTACATACTAAGCAATGCTAAGTAAGCAAAGGAAATGTTGCGTCTGTCTAATGAGAGTTTCCTTTAGAACAACGAATACAAGCTGCTAGAATAACCTGACCTGGAAGCTGTGAAGCACAGTGCAGTACCACATTTAGGAAATGTGTTTTTCCATCGTTTGAATCTTTGATTGCTCTTTTAAATGTGTAAATAGGCTTGCCCAGTAGGATGAACAGTGGCAACAAAAACAGATGTTGGGTATGAAGAACCAACACAAAAGTACTGAGCATTAAATTAAGATGTGTGTTGGAAATTAACAAATGCAGACTTACAAGTGACAATTAAATTTGGCAAAGGATATTAAAGTAAACTGCAGGGAATGGAATTACTATGCAGGAAGGACAGAGATTAAAGAGATTAAAGATAATCTAGGTATAACCCAAAAACTGGGTAAATATTCTGTGCCTCGTTTCAATCAGAGTAGATGATGCTGAACATGGAACAAGAGGCAGAATGGCTAAGGGGAATCAGGTTAGGAAAACTGCTAAGGAGCTTATTTAGTCTTTTGAGACCAAATATTCATCACAGCAGAATTCTGAAAGAACAGGATGCAAAATAGCAGGTAGAGCAAATACTTTCAATAATTCTGCTGTGTCGATCCATTCTTAAGTGACCATACAACTGCAAAGAGGTTGCTGAATGACTAAGTTTGCCAAAATAACAGCTTTGGCAGATAAGCATTCTGTTAAAAAACATACAGTTGAAGTAAAACCAGAAAAGGGAAAATAATATTTAAGCTGAAGGGTAATGTTTCCATGAAAACAAACACAACATGAAGTTAGAAGAACATATCCCAGCTTCAGTGCAATAAGATTGGGTTTGGGGAACAGTTTTCTAAGGGTAATTGGCACAGAAGTATTTCAAAATGGCGATTGATGATTTTGGGTAATTATTAGCGTTGAATTTGCCTGAGATAGGTAGAAGATAAACCATTCCTAGACCAAAAACAAACAGATCTGTTCTTTCTGTTCTCTCAGAAGGCAAAGGTTTCTGTTCAATGTGCTGGCATGACGCAGACTGAGTTCTGCCAGTTGTTCTTGGAGAGGAGGGAGGAAATGCAAAAGTCAAGCCCTGCCTTCTGTACCAGGGGTTGAAATCCCTACATGGCTTGCCCTCCACTCATGGAATTGACTCTACACATGCTGCCCAGATAAGAGACACACTTAGGGAAAAGCAACCAACTATTTTCCCTCAATCAATTACTTCTTAACTTTAACAGAATTTATGCGGCTTGTAAAACCTAAACCAAACTATTGACTGTGTTGAAATATGAGAATAGAAAGGAAGGCAGAAGTATCTTTAGATAACTGTTATGCTTTTCAAGTTTCAAGAAAATGGAATATTCCCTCCAAGGGCTTAACCAAAATTGGGTATGTTTTGCTTGTAAGCTCTTCAGCCAGCTCTCTCTGCCACTGCCATCACTTTGATAAGTCCCTTTTTATTTGCTTCCACACACCCAGTTAATATATCTGACTCATTTCATACATGTACTTTAAGGTTTCTTATTAAAAAGCTTTGCAATAGTCCAAGAGAAAAAGGGTTCTGCAAACAAAGAATAAAGTTGACTATTCTATTTTTGGAAAAAGAGCAGTGCTAATTAGCCTGCAGCAGTCTGATGGTGAAATTCCCCATGCCCTACCAGTCAAGGTCACTGGAGTTATGCCTGCATGTTGACACAATCTTTTAATACATATACGCATTTAAAATAATTATTTTGCATGTCAAGCTGTATCTTCCTCTTCTAAGTTCATTTCCACTGTGTAATGGATGGCTTGAAATCCAATTTAATTCATTTTCTTGATGCAATTTTTTTCCATGTCTACTATTTTCAGTGTATATTACAGCTTTACTACTTCTGAATGCATCTTATTAAGTAATAATTGCAAATATATATAAATATACACCACAAATTTCAATTCTGTAATTTCTTCTTTCAGGCAACTCTAATGTTTGTCATTTCTGAAAGCTTAAAAAAAAATCTGTTGAATAAGTATGCACTTCAATTGTTCTTCAAACCCACTGAACAAAGACATTTTGTAGCTAACTTGTATTTATTTATCCCTAAAACCAATTCCATTTTCTATTGAATCTTCTTACTGTGGGTTTGTTTGGTGGGTTTTTTTGGTTTGTTTTTTTTTTTTGGTTTTATAATAATTGATATGCAGTTATGGAATTCAATTGGAACACAGTATTTTTTTTCAAAGCTGGAAATGAAATTTGCTAGCATCTCTTTTCTCATCCTCAGAGCATTAGTTTGATGTATTTGAAACATTCCTACAAACAAAGTGAAAAAAGAGAACAGGAGGCTGTGGGAAGGTCTGGAGAATCTGCTGTCCTTCTAACCCTGAAGCATGAAGGGGTCTGGAGGGATGCTGGGACATTGTTACCCTATTGTTATCCACAATAGGGATAACATGGAGGAGGGCTCAGGATTTTGGGCAGCATTTTTGAGTTTTGCAAACCTCATATGAGGTTCCTCCTGTTTATGCAAGACCACTTCTTTCAAAAGATTAACTTTAGGAAGAAAATTCTGCTTTTAAATAAAGCAAACAACAACAAAAAAAACACAGTCTATCTTAAATCTGGCTATCTCACAAACACTAAATTTCACAGACCCTCTCATTAAAGCTGTTTTTTTTCTTCAATTCTGTTTCATAGAAGGGACAGGCTGTTTATCAACATGTTTTTCATGATGCATTTAAAGGTGTTCTGTACCCAGCTATTCCATTCTAAATAGATTTAATTTGATCACAATGAAATCTTCAGGAGAGGGTGGTAGT